GCATCCCATCCCATCCCATCCCATATCCCATCCCATCCCATTCCATTCCATCCCATCTCATTGCATCCCATGCCATCCCATGCCATCCCATCCCATCGCACCGCATCCCATCCCATCCCATCCCATATCCCATCCCATCCCATTCCATTCCATCCCATCTCATTGCATCCCATGCCATCCCATGCCATCCCATCCCATCGCACCGCATCCCATCCCATCCCATCCCATATCCCATCCCATCCCATTCCATTCCATCCCATCTCATTGCATCCCATGCCATCCCATGCCATCCCATGACATCCCATGCCATGCCATCCCATGCCATGCCATGCCATCCCATGCCATGCCAGTGCCATCTCATGCCATGCCATGCCATGCCATGATGGGATGGGATGGGATGGAATGGGATGGGATGGGATGGGATGGGATGGGATGGGATGGGATGGCCATCCCATCCCATGCCATCCCATGTCATCCCATCCCATGCCATCCCATCCCATGGCATGGCGTCCCATTCCATCCAATCCCAAACAATAAAAAATAATAAAAAATCAAAAAAGTAAAAAAAAAAAGAAAAATAATAAAATAAAATGAAATAAATAATATAATAATATTTTTTTATTTAATAATTAAAAGATATTAGATTTTGATCTGTAACCTACATAGGCTTCCGTGAAGTCTTGCCGTCAGTTTGCGCTATTATTATCATCTACCATAGTGTGGAGAACCTGAAATGTTGAGCGCACCGTTTGTGCGCGGTCGTGTAGCCGCTGCTGCCGATTTCAGGGTCAAACAAGAACGTGACGATAACGCTGACACTGAATGTGGGGCGGGCTTCTTTTCAAGAAGACTTACTTTTCTGTTGCCCAATCAAATTTGCGGATTGTCGTATGTTAAGTTGAGACTGGTTTAAACCGGTCATGTTCTGCTTATGCTTAGGTTGCCCTACATATTGACGGTATTAAAGAGCACTTTGAACAATACAAACGGAAACACTTAGAATGTACTGCTGCTATTGGCACCACGGATTTAGACGCAGTCGCGCGCCTTGAGGAGTCATACGGCAGTGCTGTTAAAGCTAACACAAGGTGAGTTGAGTACGCTTCGAACTGGGTGAGCAATCCGATGCCTGTCACTTATAGCGAACGCCACATGGATGACCGGTCCGGGTCAATAGATTCTCGTGCATCTACTGTGACCCGCGCACGAAAAGCTAAGGTACTGGCCGCCCTGAAACATAAACAGATGATGGCTGAACATGACCAACAGCGTAACATGGAACATAAACAAGCTGAGTTAAATGAGCTAGGCCGCAAGCAACAGGAAACTGAAGCCATGAACCAGCTTGAGACGGCGACTGTTATCGAACAGCTCGAGCAAGACGATGAAGACGCTGACCCTATTGCTGGTGAGTATTTCCTTCCTAATCAAGCTGCTGCCTGCTCGGTCGGTCTGGGTGCGCCGATGACCGTGCAAGGTGAAGAGGGGGTGACAGGAGATCAGGGTAAACCCCGCGCCTGTCCCTCTGAGGACGCCAGATGTACGTCCGAAGACTGGTGACTATAATTCACGTATCATTGAATATCCTGAGCAGCCTACTGCGAGCGCTGCCTACCCGAAACGTGATGTGTCGTTCAAAAGCGAACTGCCACCGATGAACAGAGCCGACGCTGGTTGGAACCCGACCCAGTACACCGAGCAGCGACAGTGGGGCTGCACCCCGCGTACGACGTTATGCACACAGCGCATGACGCAGCAGTCGAGGCATCTGCCGGGCCACTAGCTAAGCTGCCCGGTGGCCATATTAAGCTGCCGCGACCGGAGCTTATGACATTTTCTGGTGATGTCTTGAGCTTTAGTTTATTTGTTCACAATTTCACGGTCAATATCGAATCTAATGTGTCAGATAATCGAGCCCGCTTGCAATATTTGATTTAATTGTGTACAGGTAAGCCAAAAAAGATAATACAAAATTGTGTATTGTTAGAAGATGCCGGCTATGATAAAGCTAAGGCTTTGCTCCAGTCAAGGTATGGTCAGCTGCGAGTAATTGCCCAAGCGTATATCGTCAAGTTAGTGTCGGGTGCCACTATCAAACCTAATGATGTAAAATCACTGTTGCGGCTGTCTCTAGAGATGAGTAGGGTGCAGATTACTCTCGGTCAGCTAGGTTACGATGCGGAAATCAACAATTCAGGTAGCATGAGACGCATTGTAGATAGGCTACCTTTTCATTTAAGAAGACGGCATTCAGGCCTACGGCAAGTGCGGCCGACGGCAGTGCTGTAGCCGGGCCGCCGCCTGAACCCACAAAAGGGAAAAATGAACCGAAATCATTCAAATGCTACTGTTGCCAGGGTAATTGTCAAACGCTAGTACAGTGTAAGAAATTCAAGGACATGGAGTACAAGGGTATGCTTAGCTACGTGTACAAGAATAGGTTGTGTCTTAATTGTTTCAAATAGAAACACTTAGCGCGCGACTGCTGCCAGGAGAGCAAGTGTAGGGTGGCTGGATGCACTAGGAAACATGACACACTCCCGCATACTTGCGGTTCTAGCGACAGCGCGTCACAAGTAGGTGATGTTGTTAGATCAGAATCAGCTGGGGGTGTAACTAACATCTGTACTCTGATAAAATCAGGTGGCAAAGTGTGTATGCGGATACTGCCTGTCCGAGTGTTGAATGGCGATAAGTGTATTGAAACCTATGCGATGTTAGACCAAGGCGCTGACGTGTCATTGTGTACTAATAAGTTAGCAAGGGAGCTAGGGTTAGAAACAAGGCCGAAATCATTCAGTATTAGTACAGTTAATGGTGTCAGCCATTACGATGATGGAGTTGAAACTAGTTTACAGCTATTGTCACACGATAAGTCGGAGTCGGTGAGAGTAGGTAATGCGTGGTGTGTACCCCAGTTGCCTGTTAGCCTCAATAGCATGCCGGCTATTACTGAGCTGATACAGTACCCACATTTGGCGGGCATCAAGCTGCCGCAAGCAGCAGCCCATGATGTTTCAATTCTCATAGGTGCCAACGCACCTGAAGTGTTTTGGTCGTTAGAAGAGAGACGAGGTGCCCGACGAGAACCCTACGCTGTGCGCTCTATTCTCGGCTGGACGGTCGTTGGGCCACTGGATGATAGAAGCGGCAACCCAACGGGACACGTGAATATCATCAATTCCGAAGAAGAATCAATGCGGAGGGAGCTGCAGAAATTATGGAGCACCGACTTCAAAGATACAAGCGTCAATCAGAAGACAATGTCAGTGGAGGACAAGCAAGCGTATGCCGTGATGAAGTCGACGGCCAAACTTGTCAATGGGCATTATGAGATGGCGCTGCCGTGGCGGGTGAAAAATGTCAACCTGCCGTGTAACAAGGCAATGGCTCTGTCAAGGCTGATGCATTTGAAGAAGAAGTTGGACAAATATAAGAATCTGAAAGGAAAATATAAGAAGCAGGTCAACGATTATATCGACAAAGGATATGCAACAGCTGTCGGGGCCCACGATAGCGGCACCCCAGAGAAGACGTGGTGCCTACCCCACCACACAGTCTCCAATCCGAATAAGCCGGGCAAGGTTTGAGTGGTTTTCGACGCCGCAGCGAAATACAATGGAGTGTCTTTGAATGACCAATGTTGCATGGTCCTGACCTTGCCAATAGCCTGGTGGAAGTGCTGATTAAGTTCAGGCAGGAGCCTGTAGTCATAGTTGCTGTGGTGGACCACCGGCGACACCTCGCTACCACCAGATGTCTTTAAGATGTTAGTACACGTGTTTGGTGCGACTTCATCACCCAGCAACGCCATGTTTGCACTGCAGCAGACAGCAGAAGACAATGATGATGATTTTAGTCACGAAGCGGTGGGCATGATCGGCAAGAATTTTTATGTTGATGATCTTCTGAAGTCAGTCGCCACCACCGAGGAAGCAAACAGGCTAGTGCCTGAGGTAGCGGTACTCCTGAAGCGCGGTGTGTTCCGCCTGATAAAGTGGATCAGCAACAGCAAGGTTGTACTAAGAAACATACCTGACAGCGAGAAATCACCCTCGTTCGTCAACCTCGATTTTGACGATGAGCTGCCCACAGATCAAGCCTTGGGCGTCGGCTGGGATGTCAACCAAGATGCATTCGTCTTTCGGGTCAAGGTTGAGGAGAAGCCGTACACATGCCGCGGTGTACTATCAACTGCCGCCTCTCTATTCGACCCACTTGGACTGGTGTCTCCGGTGATGCTGAAAGCAAAGCTGATGCTACAAAAGCTGTGCCGCACTCAACTGGGATAGGATGATGAGATGTCAGACTGCGATATAGGGTCATGGTGCGCCTGGTTGGACGAGCTGCCGGCGCTGATGAATTTCCAAATACCACGATGCCTTAAACAAGGACATCAGTCAGCGTCTACAGACAACGAGCTGCATATTTTCTGCGACGCGTCTGAGCAGGCCTATGGCGCTTGTGCGTATATTCGGGTAGCAAGTGCCGGCCACGTCACAACAATGCTTGTGATGGGGAAATCAAGAGTCGCGCCACTAAAGCCACAGATTAGTGTGCCTAGACTGGAACTTAGCGCCGCCGTCGTCGGTTGCCAGCTGGGCTGCATGATAGAACGTGGACTGGAGCTGCGCGTCTCCCGCGTAGTCTTCTGGTCTGATTCGATGATTGCACTGGCGTATATCAAGAACACGAAGACACGTTTCAAGACTTTTGTTGCCAATAGGCTGACACAAATTCATGAGACTACGAAGCCGGACCAGTGGCGACATGTGTCTACCAACGTGAATCCAGCCGACCTCGCGTCACGGGGATTCAGTGCTAATGACACCGCTAAGCTGCAGTTTTGGTTGCATGGCCCGACGTTTCTACTGGGTGACGAGAAGACCTGGCCGGCAGTAAACAAGGAGGATGTTTCCCAGGCAACGCTTGACGATGAGATCAAGAAAGAAGGAGCAGTAAATCTTATTGAAGCTGCCGAGGAATACAATGTCATCGGGGCATTAGTCGATCGACACTCGTCGTGGTATCGGCTGCGACGTGCCTGTGCCTGGCTGCTGCGATTTAAGACTTACTATGTCAACAAATACCTGAAGAAGGAAAAGGAACTTACCACCAGTCACCTGTCGGTTACCGAATTGGATGCCGCATCGGCTGATATTGTGCGCTACGTTTAAGCTACTGAGTATGGCGAAGAACTTAGGCGACTGACAGTTGGTCAGCCTGTGCTAGGATCAAGCAAGTTGGCTAAGCTAGCCCCAGTGCTGGAGGACGGGATAATCAAAGTGGGTGGACCCCTTCAACAAGCCGCAGCCCTGCCAAGCAATGCGAAGCATCAAGAGCAATCAAGCATCAAATTCATCACGAGTAAATGCATCAGCTGCCGCCGCCGACGCAAGCACCAGGCAAGCAGCTAATGGGGAACCTGCCTGTCAAACGCCTGACGCCGGGAAAGCCTCCATTCGCGTATGTAGGCGTCGACTTTTTCGGTCCAATACTGGTTACGGTCAAGCGTAGTAAAGCCAAGAGATATGGATGTTTGTTCACATGTCTGACTACACGAGCTATACACATTGAGGTGACGCACTCATTGGACACGGAATCGTTCTTGGGTGCTATCACGCGGTTCATAAGCCGCAGAGGAAGACCAATCAAGGTGTGGTCTGACAACGGAACAAACCTGCGAGCGGGCGACCGAGAGTTAAGAGGGCTACTCGCCGAATGGAATGGGAAAAGGATTCATGCCTCGTTGATGCAAAAGGGCATCGACTGGTACTTCCAGCCACCGCATGCAAGTCACATGGGAGGTGTCTGGGAACGGATGGTGCGCTCAGTGCGAACGATACTGAGAGCATTAGTCGGTCAACTGCTGCTGAAGGATGAATCGCTGCTGACGTTTATGGCTGAAGCCGAGCGAATAATAAATAGCCGACCGATTACGCAAGTCGGTAGTGACGTGGATGATGCTCGGCCGCTTTCGCCTAACGCCCTGCTACTGCTGAGGGATAATAACAGCTTGCCTTACGGAGACTTTAAGAGAGATGGTGACTACCCGAGACGCTGGTGGAGACATGCGCATCACCTGGCCGATCAATTCTGGAAGAAGTGGATACGCGAATACCTGCCTTCGCTACAAGTGTGTGACAAATGGCAACGGCCTGTACGCAGCCTTGTGGTTGGCGACGTGGTGTTGATGGTTGATGAGGAGACGGTTCGGGGTACATGGCCGCTAGGTGTAGTCATTAGTGTAAATCCTGGTCGAGATGGGTTAGTTAGGAGTTGCCGTGTTAGGTCTAGAGGTTCAGAGTATGTTAGACCTATCCACAAGTTGTGTTTGTTGGAGGCCTCTGATTAGTGTAAATAGTTATCGTCAGGTTCTCGTGTAAATATTTTGTTCTGGACTACTGTGCGCGGTCGTGTAGCCGCTGCTGCCGATTTCAGGGTCAAACAAGAACGTGACGATAACGCTGACACTGAATGTGGGGCGGGCTTCTTTCCAAGGAGGCTTACTTTTCTGTTGCCCAATCAAATTTGCGGATTGTCGTATGTTAAGTTGAGACTGGTTTAGACTGTTCTGCTGACGCTTAGTGGCATTTCTGGCTGGAAGTCGACTGTACGAGTAGAAGTTGTGCAAAATTGATAGGAATTGGCTTGATATTGCCAGTAAAGGTATGAAACTTGTAATATTTTAAGGGTTTGATCTGTTACTGATTGCGGGTGCCTGTTGAGTAATTATTTAGCCTTCCGTGTATATTGGTGGTAATTTTACGGTGTTTTTCTCTTGTTTATTGTGTTCTATTACTGAACTTTCGTGTCATTTGCAGTGACCGCTTGGAGAACGGTATCAATGTATCGACTGTGTTTCTGGCTCAGATGTTAGAAGACGTTGATGTAATCTGATACAGAAATAAACAAGCGTGTTCAAGTTCCCGTGATCGTTCAAGCCAACAATTCCTTACACATAGTTTATTCTGGATTTTTAATAAACTTAGGTTAATAAACTTAGGTTCCCAACCTTTTGGACTCCCCGTACCCCTAATTTGTTACGCTATCTCCTGGTACCCCTTCGCCCACCATAACAGGGGCGTGTACAGGATTTGTACCAGGGGGGGTCTAACCGTAAGCCAAACTTGCGAGCACGCGAAGGGGGGGTCTGGGGAGCCCTACCCCAGAAAAATGTTGAAATTAGACCCCCTTAGATGCGTTTTTTGTGCAGATGGGCCAGAACTGATGAAGCACGATTATACGGATTTGGCGTATTCTAGGACGTTGAAGCTATAGCTCCTGAGGAAGTCGGCTGGATTACGTCTAGTTGCCGCTAGGCAGGGTGCGCGTTTCGCGTGGATATGCGAGCTGCAGATGGGTCTAGCGGGATACCCGGCGGTTGCGGGGGAATGCAGTGGGGCGTTTCTCAGTTTGGTGACGTTTGGTTTTGAAGGAAGATACCAAAAATTTTTAATAATCTATATATTCATGCATCATCCTTGGCATCCATCTATCCATCATTCCATGCATCCATCCTCCCTGCACCGTATCCCTCCATCCATTCATCGCAGTTATGGCATCCCATGCCATCATGACATGAATGCGCGATGCATGCCGATGCATCCAAACGTTAAAAGAATATTAAGAAATCAAGATAAAAAGGAATTAAGGGACAGTAGCTCTGGATATTTACTGCAGCAACTGTACTTACTGTATAAAAATGGTCGTATACCCAAATGTATTTTGTCACCAGATACTTAATTATTATTTACACATCAACGCGACGAATTTGAACGGTCGCCATTGACACGCGACCGTGCTGCCACCCTGAAAAGTTGTGTATTGCATTTTTATTTTGCAGGTATTTGGACGAGGGCTAATGCACAAAGTGCAATGTTATTTTACCTAAATTGCTATTAAGGCGAACGAGTTATTCATTTGTAGGGCAAATTCCATTATATATATGGAAATATATGTGTTTATAGATATTTACAATCCTTTTGCTTTTTAAATGATAATAGAAATGACCCTCGGTCTGTATAGCCGTTGTCTGGAAGGTGGTTTGCGAAATTTCAGATGTGCGGCTTTGAGTGGCGCACGTCGTATGTAATCAAACTGTAGTCGTTTAGTTTTAAGACATTT